TGGAGGGCTGATGGGAGAAACGCCAGAGAACTCACCTGTCTGTGTGATCATCATCATCATCATCATCATCATCATCATCATCATCAGCGATCACTCCTGTGAAACTGAAGTGTGTGTGTGTGTGTGTGTGTGAGTGAGTGTGTGTGTGTGGTGAGTGAACAGAACCAGATCGAGTGCAGTGACTCCACTTTCAGCAGTTACACACACCAAACACACACTGGGAAAATGACTTTTCGAAGTTGTGAATAAAACAAAGATTACTGGAGTGTGTTTGTGTGAAAATACTATTTCAGTATTTCAAAACTTCATGTTCAATGTGTTTAATTTTGTAGTAGTTTTTATGTATGTCTATACATTTTTTTATAAATTTAATTTTGTTTGAGTTATTTTAGTACATTAAGTTAATCAATATTAAAGTGAGAAATGTTGCCTTGGAAACTAGCTGAAATAAGCTATATTTTATTTCCGTTATTTTATTTCAAGTAATGCAAATGTGATAACACTTGAAGCCTTTATGTATAATGCATTATAAAGGTATTCATACTGTACATTGTAATGCATTATATCTTTTCATAACTGTAACCAATGGTAAAATGCATTATAATACTTGTTTGTCACGTGTTTTAATGCATTATATTTTCTGAAGGTGCAACGATGAATAGATAAGTGTTATAATGTATTATAACTGTGCTTACACTCATTCATGAGGTCATACAATGCATTATAAGCTGCATTACAATGAATGCATTAAAATGACGTACTATATACAGTTGTATATAGTATACTTAGTATATATATTATAACTGAGGGACTCGTACATGATTACAAACGGTCAAAACACTGCTGTTACTGCTGCTCAAGAACGAAACACGATGCATTAAGAGCTTGGTGTTGAATTGATGATTTATGTGTGAGTCCCTCAGTTGTCCTCAGTGTGAAAAGATGGATCTCAAAATCATAGTCACTTCTGGAAAGGGTTCAAATGTGCAGAAGATGCTGGAAAACTGAAGAAAGTGCAGGAACTGGGGGTTTTTCTGAAGAACAGCAGATAGTTCTGTTCAGGACCAACAAGGGACTCATGAACAACCATCACCAAACATGAAAACAGTTGTGGATCATCCAGGAAACAACACACAGTATTAAGATTCAATTCAGTAAACTTTTGATCGGGGTCATTTTTGATCAATTCAGTTATTATTTTGTCTTGTGGAGTATATTTGTGACCCTGGACCACAAAACCAGTCATAAAAGATTTTGAGATTTGTGCATATAAATAATATTTCCAGTGATGTATGGTTTGTTAGGATCGGACAATATTTGAAAATTTGGAATCTGAGGGTGCAAAAAAATCTAAATATTGAGAAAATCATCTTTAAAGTTGTTCAAATGAAGTTCTTAGCAATGCATATTACTAATCAAACATTAAGTTTTGATATATTTACGGTAGGACATTTACAAAATATCTTCATGGAACATGATCTTTACTTAATATCCTAATGATTTTTGGCATAAAAGAGAAATGTATAATTGTGACCCATACAATGTATTGTTGGCTATTGCTACAAATATCCCCCAGCGACTTAACACTGCTTTTGTGCTGCAGGGTTATGTGAAATAGCTTATTCAAGACAGTACTAAATAAAAAATAACATGCAATTTTCATGATTAACATTTCGCACATTCTGCAAGGGGTGTGTAAACTTCTGAGCACAACTGTATTAAAGGCTTTAAATAAAGTGTTACCGGACATGTTTTTAAATGGACTGGTAACTGTAACAGCTGTGTAGTCGTTTGTGATATTTACTAGCGGTTTCTAAATGTGTGTTTTGTGTTTGGCGGCGCAAGGCTGCTTTCCTTCAGCTTCAGCTTCAGCTTCAGCTTCAGTGTGACGGCTTCAGCATCAGCAGGCCGCTGGAAGATTCTCACCTTTACAGCTTCTTCAATTCCGGCCGTTCCCCTTCGTTCCCCAGCCAGCTCGTTTGAGACCTGACACTATAATTATCAGCAGATGAAGGTCACCTTCAGTGGCAGGGGTTTTCCAGCAGCGTCTGACTGCAGAGCAGCTGAGCAGCGAAACTGAAAGTCCTGCGTCTGGTGGATCCCGACGGCTATTTGCATTAAACACACTCAAGCTGTATTTATAGCTCTTTAAAAGCAAAACACACAAAGATGAGCTCAGCCGGGGAACTTGTGCTGAGCTCATGATGAAATACAGCAGCAGGAAATATTCAACAGTGTTATCATCACACTATTATAGTTATTTTATATATATATATATATATATTTGAATTAGTTTGATTTCATTCAATTATCTTCACTCATTCATTAAAAATATCCAGCTGATAAGAGTAATTTGTTTGTGAATATTTTGTATGTTATTAATATTATTTTAGTATTTTATTTCAGACTACTCCAGTGTTATTTTAGTATCATTGAGATACTATTATAGTTGCATTTTCATTTTTATATTTGTTTTTATTTTAAGTTAACATTTCAGCAATTGTGTAATTTTTAAAAAATATGTCTATAGAGTTTATAATAATTTTTATTTCAGTTTTAGTTTTAGTTTTTTACAAGATGAACTTAAACTAAATGGAAATGAGAAATGTTGGCCAGGCAATTAGCTGAAATAACATAAATGTAAGGTTTTGTGCATTCTATTTTATTTATTTATAGATAAAGGTTTAGTAATTTTGTTTGTTTTTGTATTTTTTATTCTTTATTATGCTTTAGTTATTTTAGTACATTAAGTTAAACAAAAGAACAATTTTAATGAAAATTTAAAATAAAATAAGGTTTTATTTTTTTATTTCAGTTAATTATTTCATTAGATAAATTTAAAGTTATTTTTACTATAATAGTTTACTACTTTAACTAGTTTATTAATAACCCAGCTCACAGCAAACATAAAAACTAGTGGCCAAACTATTAATCGCATACATTTGTTTACATAATATACGTATGTGTCCTGTGTATATTTATTATGTGTATATAAATGCACACACATGCATGTATATTTTTAAAATATTTACATGTATCTACATGCATATATTTATATTCATATGATTTATATTATAAATATATTTAATATATAAATATAACATATGTTTCTGAAATATACACAGTACACACATATACAGTGGGTACGGAAAGTATTCAGACCCCCTTAAATTTTTCACTCTTTCTTATATTGCAGCCATTTGCTAAAATCATTTAAGTTAATTTTTTTTCCTCATTAATGTACACACAGCACCCCATATTGACAGAAAAACACGGAATTGTTGACATTTTTGCAGATTTATTAAAAAAGAAAAACTGAAATATCACATGGTCCTAAGTATTCAGACCCTTTGCTCAGTATTTAGTAGAAGCACCCTTTTGATCTAATACAGCCATGAGTCTTTTTGGGAAAGATGCAACAAGTTTTCACACCTGGATTTGGGTAAACAAACTAAATTTTTATTTTGGAAGTGATAATAATCATATGACAGCACTAATAAAAACACATATGACTGATTAAATATCATGATTATTATTATTATACAGAATATAAAGTAGTTTAATCACTGCAACTTAAAAAGTACCATGCATTTTAATTATTGTTTTTTTTTTTAAAGTTTTTATTCATTTTAATTTCAGCTTTAGTTGTAAGTTTTTTAGACTTTATTTCAGTTAAAAATGATTACTAGCTATAACACCAATGAACTTTAATAACCCTGCTCATTGCAAACATAAAAGATACAGTAATACAGGAAGAACAACTGAATATCGTTATTATTCTACAGAATATACTGATAGTTTCATCACTTCAGTTTAAACCTAGCACGCACAACTATCTTTAAATATTCCATAATGCTAATGTTTTCTTCTAGCAGAGCATTATATTTATAGCTATCATTATAGTGGTTATTAAAGCTGTGGAGTTCTGCTTATGGTTATTGTGTGAACGGGACAGAAGAGAATCACAGACCAAACTAACGCATTACGCAACACGCCGAACACTTCTGGAAAAACTAATTAGTTTAATGAGCGGTTACACAAACAACGCTTTTCTGAGAAAAAGCAACGAGGTGATGAGAAGAGAGAGATCTGCAGCAGCTCGACTCGACGGAAGCATCAGCGTGTGCTCCAGATACTAATTATTATTATTATTATTATTATATGACCCTAAAAATGTGTTTTCTGTTGTACTTGTAAGATGTATTTGTTAAACTTTTAATTAACTGTTGTTGAATTAATGAATTACACATTAGCTAGACCATTAAGAAGGAATTCAGAAAAATTAAAAACAAAAAAACGCAAAATTTGGTAAAAATAAAACATTTAAAAGAAACATAAAATGTATTTCATAGAGTGCTACAAATGTATTTTTTGTTACATTTTGAATGAATTGTTGTTAAATTCTTTATGATTTCAATCATGATTATTAAAATTTAATTAAACCATTAAAACAGAATCCAGAACAATTTAAACTGAAAACACAGAATTTGGTAAAAATAAAACTGAATTTGAGAAAAAAATCTAATGTATTTCATATGGTATTTTTTTTTTAAATACATTTTCTTTTCTTTTAATCAATTGTTGTTAAATTGTATTTTTAAGTTTCATGATTTCAATTAATTAGACATGCTTTTGGATTATTAAAATATAATGAAATCAAGAAAAATTAAAACCAAAAACACAGAATTTGGTAAAAATGAAACGGAATAATATGCATTTCATATGGACCTAAAAAGTGTTTTTTTTTGTTAAACTTTTAATTGCTGTTAAACCGTCTAAGTTTCATGAGTACGATTAATCAGACACACTTTCTGATTACTAAAATTAGTAATTAATCCATTAAAATGTCCAGAAAATTTGAACTAAAATGAATTTGTTAAAAAAATAATAATAATAATAATGAGGAAAAATAAAAGGTATTTTGTAGAGTGTTATTTTTTTTAATAATAATAATAATACATTTTTAAAATAACTTTTATTAAATGAAAACAGAAAAAATTTGAAATTGGAGAAAAAAAAACAAACAGAATTTCAGCAAAAAAACAAAAAAACTGTAATTGAAGTGATATGTATTTGACGGCACTGACACTATTAGATGAGAACAGAGACGGTCTTCTGTTGAGCTGAAAGTGAAACGACGCGGATGCGATGAAGGAAACAAACGAATGACGCTCCCAGAGGAGCGCGCTCCGATCCTTGGGGACAGCAGGAAAGTCCCACCATCCTCTGGAGTCTCTGCCCACTTCAGAGGACCGGAATCCACCCAGAAACACACACACACACACACACACACACACACACACACAAAACCCCCTGTCCCACGCTCACACCCACCGCGCGTTTGTTTCCATCACAATGAGGAGTCACAGGGAAACTCGGCCCTTATAATGACACTGACACTTTCCACACACACACACACACACACCTGCGGACACACCCGCCGCGTAACCCGAGAGCCGCTCACCTGTGCAAACACACGCACAATCACAGCACACAACACAGCTTTGTAGTAAAGTTTATAGAGTTAAAATGCTGAGCGTTACATCCACCGAGCACAAACGAGACACTGCTTTACACGAGTGAGGACACGACCATCAAACGCTATTTACACCAATCAGAGAGCAGAACACAAGCGGAGGCGGAGTCACGAAACGTCCTGATGAAGCAGCGCTCATCATCATCATCATCATCTGGAAGCTTCCAGTCCATCAGCTCTACTTCAAACTATAAATTAAAGGGACGGTTCACCCAAACCATCGTTCACTCACCATCAAGTTTCAAAGCGGTTTGAATATTTTGAAGAATGCTGGTAAACAAACAGCTGTTGGACCCCATTGACTTCCATTGTATTTTTCCCCTAGTATGGAAGTCAATGGGGACCAATGGCATTTGTTTACCACCATTCTTCATAACATCTTCTTTTGTGTTCAACAGAAGAAAGAAACATCTGAAGGACAGTAAACAAAGACAGAATGACCAGTTTTGGGTGAACTGTCCCTTTAAGTAGAAATCAACACAAACATTCCTATCATTCCGTCAGGAATGGTATTCTCCATAAAGTAAGGTTTCGCTCTACAGCACAAACTCACTGCATGATTCTCTATACAGCTGTGATGAAGCACAAACAGAAGGTCTTTCTCCTCTGAACAAATCAAATCAGCACGCTTCACTGTGATTGGTCGGCCGTGGGGCTGGCCGCCGCCCCCTCGTCGTTGCTGCTGTCCACTTCCTGTTCCATGGCAGCTTCCTCGTCCAGACGCTGGCTGGTGAAGTCGGTGATCTCCAGGAAGCCGCTGGGCTCCACCACCACGTTTGATTGGCTGGAGTCGGGCATGATGGAGTACTGCGGGATCACCTGACCACAAACACACATCACATGACCTCAGCAACGTGGAAAATGCAGAATCCACTGCATAAATCTTGTGTGAATAAATCAGAAGCAGGTCTGTAGACTGAATCAGATCTGGACGAGTGTGTGTGTGAGTGTGTATGCGTGTGTGAGAGTGTGTGTGTGTGTGAGAGTGTGTGTGTGTGTGTGAGAGTGCGTGCGTGTATGTGTGTGTATGTGCGTGCGTGCGTGTGCGTGTGTGTGAGTGCGTGCGTGTATGTGCGTGTGTGTGTGTGTGTGCGTGCGTGCGTGTGAGAGTGCGTGCGTGTATGTGTGTGTATGTGCGCTCTACTACACACACTGAAACACAAAGATCTGCACTACAACCCGCCAAAATAAAAGTTCGGTTCAACTTGAAGAAATTATGACAGAAATATATCACTACTGTATTTCTCAAAGTAATAATAATTCTAATAGTATGACTACTAATAAAATAATTACTAAAACTTTTCATCATGTTTTAATTTTAACAGTAAACCTCTGTTGTGTAGCACTTTGTTTGCCAAAAAATGTAATATTTAAAATTAAAGTATTAAAAATAGTTTAATTTTCGTTTGATTAAACCGTTAATTAAAATGTTTTATGCATTCATGCCTTATTATGGGCATGTTTTTTTTAATGAATTCAATTAATTAGACAAGCTTTTTGATTTAACCATTAAAATGGAATCCAGAAAATTAAAACAGAAAAAATGTATTTAGAAAAAAAATAAATAACAGAATTTTGGAAAATATAAAACAGATTTCACAGGACTGTACGCAACAGATGTTCTGGAGAAGAACGACGGAGTTTGGGTTTCTTACTACTGCCACCTTGGGCTTACTTAGCTGGGCCTAAATACGCTTGATATTCAGTAATATGATTGATTTGATGGCACTGACACTACCTTGATCTGAATAACGATACTACTGCTTACAGCTGACCTGAGTTGGTCTCATTTGTGATGAAGTCTGCATCACTGATCCTGTTCTTTCCCTGTGAAGCTGCTTTGAAACGATCTGTACTGTATGAAGCGCTACAGAGGAGAAGCGTGAGAGGAGCACCTGTATGATGTCCAGGTCTTTGCTCTTGACGCGGCCGAGCGTCTGTTTGGAGCTGCTGATGAGCGGCGAGGCGCTCGGTGGTTTGGTCAGCGGGCCGCAGTCGCTGGACGAGTCCACCACCATGGGCTCGATCTCCGCCTGCATCATGGAGATCTTCAGGATGTCGGAGGTCTTCTCCGGCGCTGTGTGACTGGAGCTGGGCTCCGGCTGGAGCTTGACGGACGCCTCGCCGCTGCTGGACACCGGGGGACACTGATGAGCGCCGAACGTGATCTTCGTGACAGACGCTCCCTGCGTGATGATCGGCTGCTGCAGCTGAGACACACACAGAGAACCGTCACTTACCATAACCAGCACCTTCAGAAACAATCACTCTAAGAGTGAGTCCACACCACGACAACAGCCAAGTTTTAATTATCGTTCATATTCTGTGAAAATAACGACATCCACAGCACGACTATAATGGTAACGACTCAAGCTTTTAAAGCTGCAGTAAAAAAAAGAAATAATAATTAAACAAATAAAACTAAAGATGTTTTATCTGTACACTGAAACACAAAGATCTGCACTACAACCCGCCAAAATAAAAGTTCGGTTCAACTTGAAGAAATTATGACAGAAATATATCACTACTGTATTTCTCAAAGTAATAATAATTCTAATAGTATGACTACTAATAAAATAATTACTAAAACTTTTCATCATGTTTTAATTTTAACAGTAAACCTCTGTTGTGTAGCACTTTGTTTGCCAAAAAATGTAATATTTAAAATTAAAGAATTAAAAATAGTTTAATTTTCGTTTGATTAAACCGTTAATTAAAATGTTTTATGCATTCATGCCTTATTATGGGCATGTTTTTTTTAATGAATTCAATTAATTAGACAAGCTTTTTGATTTAACCATTAAAATGGAATCCAGAAAATTAAAACAGAAAAAATGTATTTAGAAAAAAAATAAATAACAGAATTTTGGAAAATATAAAACAGATTTCACAGGACTGTACGCAACAGATGTTCTGGAGAAGAACGACGGAGTTTGGGTTTCTTACTACTGCCACCTTGGGCTTACTTAGCTGGGCCTAAATACGCTTGATATTCAGTAATATGATTGATTTGATGGCACTGACACTACCTTGATCTGAATAACGATACTACTGCTTACAGCTGACCTGAGTTGGTCTCATTTGTGATGAAGTCTGCATCACTGATCCTGTTCTTTCCCTGTGAAGCTGCTTTGAAACGATCTGTACTGTATGAAGCGCTACAGAGGAGAAGCGTGAGAGGAGCACCTGTATGATGTCCAGGTCTTTGCTCTTGACGCGGCCGAGCGTCTGTTTGGAGCTGCTGATGAGCGGCGAGGCGCTCGGTGGTTTGGTCAGCGGGCCGCAGTCGCTGGACGAGTCCACCACCATGGGCTCGATCTCCGCCTGCATCATGGAGATCTTCAGGATGTCGGAGGTCTTCTCCGGCGCTGTGTGACTGGAGCTGGGCTCCGGCTGGAGCTTGACGGACGCCTCGCCGCTGCTGGACACCGGGGGACACTGATGAGCGCCGAACGTGATCTTCGTGACAGACGCTCCCTGCGTGATGATCGGCTGCTGCAGCTGAGACACACACAGAGAACCGTCACTTACCATAACCAGCACCTTCAGAAACAATCACTCTAAGAGTGAGTCCACACCACGACAACAGCCAAGTTTTAATTATCGTTCATATTCTGTGAAAATAACGACATCCACAGCACGACTATAATGGTAACGACTCAAGCTTTTAAAGCTGCAGTAAAAAAAAGAAATAATAATTAAACAAATAAAACTAAAGATGTTTTATCTGTTTAGATGCATGTCATGCGACCATTAACGGTCACCCGAGGATCTACATCAGTGGATGAGACGGATCGATATCCGCGCTGGCCTCACCTGGCTGCTGCTGGGAGTCTTGCTGGAGCACACGGGGTGATGCGCCTGCAGCGGCGGCGGCTGCGACAGCTGCGTGTGTGTGTTGGGCCGGTGGTGTGAGGAGGGCGCCTGCTGCAGTTTGGGCAGCTGCGGTTTGTGTGGAGGGTTCGAGGAGACGAGCGCCGCAGACGCAGACGCAGCAGCTCTCTGTATGGAGACTCGGGGCGTGAGAGGCTCCGCCCTCTTAGAGGAAGTGGGCGTGTCAGACGGGCCGGCTGCAGGTTTGGGCTGAGATGAGCGGTAGAACAGACCTGTCTGAGGATCCAGAGTGTCTCCCTCAAGCTCGCCCTCCTCCACCACCATCTGCTCCTGCAGCGGCTTCACCTGCGGCACACACGCCTCCACCTGCGCAAACACACACACACACACACACACACACACACACACACACACACACACACACACACCCTC